ATCCTCACGACTCCTCATCCCAAGCTGACGAAATATACGGAAGGCTTTGCTTTGAAATACCCCGTGCAGGCGGGCATTTATTGGAGACTGGCACGGAGGCATTCCTTACATTGAAGCGCGATGGAAAAATCGGAAATAGTCCATTTGTTATCGCTCCACGCAGGTGACCGCTAACCCTGGTCCAAAGTTCCCGTCATTGTCATTTTCACAAAATATGATATGCTCATCGACCTCGTGGATCGTACTCTGGACAGCTCCTCTCTCACGCAGCGAAAGAAACACACGAGGAAACGCGAGCCCATCTGAATCCGTCCGTCAGCATTTTGCGCCCGAAGCGTGAATCGTCGCGATTTGCATTCTGAGGCGCGCACTGGCAGGTGAGTCTTGTCAGAATCGCAAATTCCCTACTCGAGCCGCGGCTCAGGCCAGAGCCAGGCCAAAGCCAGCCGTCATTTGCGGCTTTGGCCCGGCTTGGATCATTTGCAGGCCAGAGCCGTCTGAAGCCAGGCCAAAGCCGTGGCTTTTGGGCCAAGCCGGGCCGGAACATCACTAGGCGGATATAATGAATCAGGGCCTCCTCCAATATCTCCTGGATAGCTAGGGACTTTATATAGCTGTAGGTACGCAGAGGGTTGTCAGTATTACCATACTATTAATAGAATCATGTGATCCGGTTACCGTGCCCAACGTCGCATAGTGATGGGAACGTTCGAGCTCGTCGTGTCACACGACGAGCTCGAGTATCTCACTTCAAGGTGGTCGGATTAAGAGCGCGTTTTGACAAATAGTGCACCAGTAATGATTGCGAAACGTAGGGAATACATGCAAGTCCATAGGATGTGTATATATAACTAGTAATACTACTCCTCAGCATCACCATGAATTCCAAGGCGTGAAAAGTCATCCGCAACAAGGAGGACGTCCTGTAAACTCCTAGATACTTGCTCCACTACCTCGTCCTCTTCCTCCTCATCATCCAGGTCATCCTGGGTGTCTACGGCTAAGGACGATGCGGTGTGATGAACAGGCGGGGGTTGAACAATCATGCGGGTGGGGATCTGTGCATTAGCTATACTCGCGCTCTCGCCGGGACTTGTGTTCGCACTGACACCAGGGGTTAGCGTCCCTCTGAAACCTGGAAGCTTCGAAATGTCGTAGAGTCGTTTGAGATGTCGTGAGTTGAAGCGACCTCGAGTGTTTCGGTGGATGGCGATTTGATGTGCAAGGGCTGGGCTGGTGGCTTGTAACTGATTCTCGCATTCCCGTAGATACCTCTCTTCATCGCGTATATAGGTAATGAGGCGTCGTACCTCAATATCGAGACGCTCGATCTCTTCACAAGCACGACACGTTTTGAAGTAGAGGTCCATCACGCTACAAGCAGCGGTCGATGACCACGGGTGTCGAGATATGTCCGTGCACGTATCACGTAGTAAGTCGAAGTCTGCGAGGAACGCATACTCTACGACCTCATCCCACTTAAGCGTCCGGCGGGGAGGGTGCATTGACCCAGCAATAGTGTTGTATGTGGTGAGGGCAGTTCTGATGGCGACGGAACACATTTGTAACGCCTTAGCGATATGCTTTCGCAGTTTGTAGCCTTGTTCAATGTTAGAATCAGCAAGCAATATACTACCTTTTACTCACCTGTGCCCGCACGGTTCATCCTCGTTAGCTCAAATATGCGTGCCACAATTAATCCTTCGAGACGGTCCAGGGCACGCTGGTATTTCCGATTGGCCACGAGCCTCCCAACCCTCTGCCACTCTCCATCGTGCGGAGTCCAGCGTTTCTCGACCTCGAGCTTGCACTCCAGTGCCTGGACGAGCTTCAAATATCTCTCATGGTCCTCCAAAGCATGCCGTTGGGCAGTCTCAGCGTTGCGAGTATTCTTGACGTGCGCATCGTATGGCACAGCCTCGAGGTGCGATGAGCCCTGGAATGATGTCATTGAAGCGCGTAGAATTTCCCTATGTAAATTGTGTCAGCGGGTACAAGGGCCATAGCTTGACATCGAAACTCACTCGCTCGCAGTAAGATTAACTAACTTCTGCCAATATTCCATCTGCAGAGTTTCGACCTCGGGTTCTCGCGTCAGACTTTGAAGATATACCTTTTCTTCCGCCAGCCAGCCCTCGAAAACTGCTACGTCCGTAACTTTGAGATCTCGCATAAGGTTTGGTAGGGTCGCGTCTCCGTCGCTCAAGATATCAAGCGCCTGCTTGTAATTGTTGTATAAAAAGTCGGCTAGCAAACACAAATATTACGTCAGCACACAGTCAAGTTTGACGACACGACGAGACGGCTTACAAAGATTAGCGTAGACTTCAAAATCATCATTGTGCTCGAAGTAGGTGTCGATGGCCTGTTGTCTATGGAAGACGCTTGCGTACCGTAGTGCCGACGCTAAGGAATTGGATTTTGAAAACGTCTGTTCGCAAGTCTCGAGATCTTCGAGTCCTAAACCTTTGATGTAAGTGGTAAGCGAGTACAGTTGGCACAATCGCCGGTGCGCATGTCCGTGGAAGGCGCCGACAAGACAAGTGTGATGCATAGACCGTGCGAGGGGTCCGAGGGAACTGTTGTCAAGCGTGGTCTTGAATTGACATCCAATGTCATATCCACCGCCCAGATTGCTTCCAAATACGTCCAGCAACTTTGAGACAATGGCTAGAGGATACTTTGCGCTGATAGATAATCATTAGCTCGTGAACAACGCATTAAAAAAATGTAACGTACAGCTCCCCGCTCTGTACCATATCTGCAACAAGGAGAGAGAATCCGTGGCGGCACACGGCCACAAAAATGCCCGTTTCATCGTAAATGCCCCATGCTTTCTTGGTCTTCGTATCGTCCATGTTCTTCCAGCGTGCTTCGCACAAGTTCTCGAGATGTGCGTCCTATAGGTTAGGGTATTAGCCATCACCAACCCGGATGGAAAGCACTCACCTCATCACCTGCAGTAGTGGAGTCCCGCGCGAACTGATCTACAAAAGTGCGGGATAGGTAGCGGTCACTTGCCAGTTGCTGCCCTGTTGGAAGTTCTGAAGATGTACCGAGGGACTCGTCAGTATCCAAGGATCTTCGAAGGACTCTTTTTAAAGAGTCGTTACCGTCCATAGCGTAGAGTAAGCTAAATGTCAACTCGGGTTCATCCGTCAGTTTATATGTACATGCGGGACAGGCGTGTTTCACGTGCCAATCAGGCGTGTTGTGTCGTAACGATTCGGCTACCATGGCTGCCACGGAGCGTCGAACTTGAAGATATAAATCGAACGCAATCGAGAATTGTCGAGATAGATGTCTGTGGAAACTAACCTGCGCGTGAATCAGCACGATAAGAACCAAAGAAATCAGAAGACATACACCATGTAAGTCGCACATAGTCTTGACGAAAGCCTGGATAGACAATTGAGGGCTCCTAAGATGTGCTACACGGTATAAGTCCAGAGCTTCGGTGGTGATCCCGACAGTCGGTGATATTGGTGAACAAGGCATCACGCCTTGACGAACGAGCGCACTGCTGATAGTGGCGTCTGCTGGCAAGATTCGAAGAATGACTTTCTCAGTGTCTAAACAATATGCCGTCATCAAATCGTAAGCAAACGACAACAGACCGACTTACTCACAGAACACGTCTATCACGCTCATCGGCCACTGACCATAGTCAAAGCCATCCAGCCCTAGGTTCTCCCTCTCCAAAACCCTTCCTTACATTTTGCCAGGCTCCACGCAAGGTACGCGTCCGTTATCACTGGCAGCTGCTCAGCAAACGCCTTGTTCCTACGGAGGACACGATCACGACGGGTGCGGTTATCCACCCATCAAACACGATTGTTGCTGCTCGCAAAGGTAAGTCAAATGTGAAGGTCATGACAAAATTCACTCACGTTTTCCAAAAGTCTCCTAGAACCTCTCTTGCAAGGTCAGTGAACTCGCCACCAGCATGGCTGATGGCGAGCGGCTCTGTTCCATCGCAGATGTTACCAAAGCTGAAGTCATCGTAGTCATCCTGCCAGCCATCGATGGTGCTATTATTGTCCTCTTTCAGCGCTTCGAGTGCCCGACGCTCATCCAAACTCATAGCTATACAAAAGGTTTTTTTTCCCCTTCCAAGTATTGAATTAACATAGCATACCTTGTAGACGTGCTTGCCGCCGCTCATTGGAACTTGCTGCTTGCTGGACCAACTGCCTGTGCTTGAGTACTTTGGAAATGGAGTTGGCTGGCAATCTGTTGTTGTCCCTCGGTGCCCTGATGTGCCGAACCGATCGCAGAGAGATATTTGTGCGGACTCGCTGACGTGCTGCATTTTTTCGCGCCATTCAGACCTATCTAAAGTTTGTACTACTGTCACAGTCCGATCTATTTCTCACGTGACTGATTATAGACTGTCTAGCACTCTGACCAAGCCGTTCGTGAGATCGCTCCTATGTCAACACCATCCAGTGGCCGCCCTACCCAGGGTGGCCATATTCAAGACCTGCACAATTTGCTGCAAGGTATGACACTGTCAGGTGCGTCTTTCAACAATCCAGAAATTAATACACTGACACTCGATATAGATTCATCATTCGATACCGTGACTTGGAGCCGCAAGACCACGGAAGAGTCCATCAGCCTGTCGAGATCATCGTTCACGCCGTCCACGTCCACCAGCACTCGTTCCGTTCCGAAGAACAAAGCACCCATTCCCCCTTCCACTTCAGCTCGCTCTACTGCTACACCATCCCACCCTCATCCTCAAGCTTCATCGATGGTTGTGCAGACACCCCGCCAAGTCACGGCCTCCATTCCGATTCCTAGTGCCATCCGTCCTCCACGAGCCGATCAGACACCCGAAGGATTCTGGGTGATAACGGTTGGGCAGGAAGTTGGTGTGTTTTACCGCTGGTAAGTGTGACGTGTACTATGGGTACCTGTTGGCTTGTGTTGGCTAATTCTTGACAATGTTGTTAGGGCTGATGTTGCCGAACGAACAAATTTTATCAGCGGTAATATTCAAAAACGATACACATCGTTTCAGCGGGCATTAGCAGCATATACAGCCAGCTATGATGAAGGCAGGGTCCGGGCGGTTCCACTGGCAGGTGGCCCTTTCTGGCCATCCCCTCCAGAGTCCTCGCCCAACCCTCCTTCACCTACATTGTCTATGGGCTCATCTGCGAGTGAAGACTCACTATGGTTGCAGGTCGAAGACTTGACGGAGACAATGAGCCAGCTTTAATACTATATCGTTTACGTTGTGCGCTGTGATGTGCGCTGTATATGTATTAGAATGACAAAATGAACACGCGAAACGCGCCTTACTCGTTATACCAGAGCCATACATTTGTTGGAATATTCATTGATAGTGTAGAAATCCAGCGTGCACAGAAAATCATCATATGTTGGTCAGTGTGTCACTAGCACAATTGCATCATGCATCAACCGCTACATACAACCCTGTCATATTCATAACATTCTGCATGGAATCACCACAACATTTTACAGCTTCGGCTCAAGTATGCATGTCTACCTATTCCTAATAAACACCTCACCATGTTCAATATTTTTCAACAGTGTTGCATTCGCGAGCCCGAGCATCCGTACACTCATGTTCGCTATCTGTTCGCTATCTGTTCGCTATTGTTCGCTATCCGTTCGCTATCCGTTCGCTATCGTTCGCTATGTTCACTGCTGGATCATCTCAGAAAGCTCTTTGCAAAGACGGATTCCCTCTTGATTGACTACGATAATCTACTATTTATAATGTTCATTATCTAGTTTCACCTCCATGAACTTTACCTCTGAAATCACGGAAACCAGTAAGTCGTATAGTAGAATGCTGTCATACTTAAGACGCTCCCTGCAATAAGGGCAACTGGTGTGTACAATCTCCCTTATGGCTTCCAGGATCTTCCTCCCCTCCAAAACATGCAGCGCACATTGGTCCAAGAAAATGTCAGTCTCACTTTCCCCCTCCACCCGAGCGTGTGCGAGTGCTTCCTCGTATACTTCTCTCCATGTATCTTCTGCTACCAACCATACCAACCACTCCTTTCGCCACCTCTGGACGATTCTCTCTGTCGAATTTAGCGTTTGAGAGTCGCAGGGGCAAGGTAAGTCGTTATCCATCGTGAGCACTGAATCGTCGTTGGTGTCCCAGGACAGGTCTTCGCAGTTGTCGACTGATGATGTGATGGTGGAATCGTCGTTGGCGTCCCAGGATAGGTCTTCGTAGTTGTCGACTGATGATGTGATGGGTGCCACTGTTTGATCTTCGATCATTTTTTTTTTCTTCCTGTAGAGTAATTAAGTAAATGACGCCCATGGCAATATACGAGACCTTACCTTGCCCTATTGCTAAAAGAAATCATGTGAGCACGAACAGGTAGAGTTGTGTGGGGGATGGACTCACAACGCTACTCGAGCACGAGCCTTGGCGTTTTGAGCTTCTCGAACTCTGTGCAGGGGTGGTAAGCAAAATTTCAGTGACTCAAAAAATCGACCTACCCTGGCTTCGAGAGCCAACGTTGCGTAGCTGTGCGCTGCCTGGATGATAGGCCGCGTGATGGCCCCTGAGTCGAACGTCTCTGTGAATGCACAAGTTAGACGTGCAGATTGAAATGTGAAGAATTGTGCTTACCATGATTTGGGGGGGAAAGGAACGAGGGGCACGGTGCCATAAGACATCGACAACTACTACTAAGAGTAATCCACATAATATTTTTTGACATCGACAGCTGGCAATGATCGAGATGATCGATGATATATGCACGGTAAATTGTTAAGCGCTTGTCAGCGGAAGCAATATGTGCTTACTAATGAGTTGTTGGTCCAAGTTTAGGCATTGCAGCCTTAACACTGATGCGTGGTCTGAGTCTGTTTCATTGTCTTCCTTTGGCACGCTAGACATGCAACCACAGCCAATAGAATACTGGAATTCCGGCTTTGCAGCCAAAATCAAGCTCCAGACCTATGGTTGGAATTTGGACTCTGCTGGAATGGACACCCAGTATGTCAAAGGTATGTAGCGGGTTTGTACCTCCTGAGCCACATTGACCTGGCTGATGGTTTTTATACAGATGCAAGTCCAAGGCATTCTATTGTCTCGAAGGCCCGCGCATCGTGACGAATTGCCGTTGCACCTCTTGAAGGCCTGCGCATTGTGATGAATTGCCGTCACACTCTTGTTCCTGGTTGGCTGCTAACCCCGCTCCTCCTCACTCATCAAAATAATATTAACCTCACTCATCACGCCGGCATTTACCTTGACGAATATATCACCTCCCTCACTCGTCATACTGGCATTCCCCCCCTCACTCGTCAAAGTGGCATTTACCTGGATGAATACATTTCCTGGACGGACGCATTCCAGCCGAGCTATGCCATATCATGAGACCCGAGTTGCGCAATATTGAAGGTATGCACTGATCAGCACTGCATTGCACTGCCTCTACTAAGTATGTGCCTAAGCGGTTTCATGTCAACCTCAAGATCTTACACCGATTTATGCATATTTTTTTTTCAAACAAATGGCGTTGAATGATAGGACGTGCGCAACGCGTCGCGTGTCGTGTTTTTGCGTGATCTATCTGATCCATCGCATGCCAAACTTTGAAGCCGTGTCCCCGTCTACATCGTTCGTTTGGTGATCTATACGATCCATCAGACGCCAAAGTTTGAAGATACGTCCCCGTCTACACATTTTTCACTCACAGCTCTAAGTATGAGCTACCTCTACACATCCGATGATTTTAACGCCAACGGCGATTTTATCTCAGCCGGAGGTTTTCTGGATTTGCTTCCTGGGGGGGGAGGTATACTTCCCAGCTACCCATACCCAACAGGCGACGATTCCGATCCGATCAGCAGCACTGGCAGTGAACGGGTTCCCGGGATCAGTCAGATGAACTGGGATGACCCGTCCCTGTACACAATGCCACTTACCAATGACGAAATCGCGGCTCTAACTAACGACATAGCAGCCACAAATATCCCAACCGTGCCAGAGCTCCCCGCCCCCCCACCAGTTGCCTTCGCAATACCCTCCCTGCTCGCACACCGTCACCTCAGCCTACTTCAACGCATGACCCAGACTCACCGAGTCCTGCCGAAGCAGAGGCGCCAGACACCAGTGGAGAGATGCCAGAGTCACTCCGTGAGGCAAACATGTCCTCCTGGGCAGCACGGAACCCAACACGAGCGATTATCCGCCCTCGGACACCACCACCTCGACTAACAGATGCCCAGAAGGCGTCTCGAAAGATCAAGCGGGACCAGAGGCTAGAGAGAACGAAGCACTTACACGACGCAGTTGCTGAATACTTAGATGCACAGAAAACGAAGATCGAAGCGCTCTCGCGGGCTCATCATGTTACTCCCAAGCACATCAACGATATCATCGGCAGTCAGACTCATTATCGAACCTCGCGCAAGAGTCAATTAATCAATGCACTTGTTCACGCCAAGGCGAAAGAGATGAACGCAGGTGAGTCAAATGAATTTCAACTCAATTGTATCACGAAGCTTATCCTGCATCAACTAGACCGACCCGCAGGCGCTCGGTACTCGTTGGCGGAACTCCGCCAGATGGTTGCGTCCGACCCTGAAACAAAAGCCCTTACCAGGGAAGAAAAGGAACGCTACATCGCAGCTCTCGAGGAGCATCGTGAAAAAAGGTCATTAGTGTTCGGGCGAACAATCTGGCGGCTGCACGAGATGTTGTAGCCACAACGGATAGGATCGTCAAAGAGGTACGTCTGAATCTTCAATCTTCACGCAATCAACTGAATTCATTTTTTTCTTTGAAGCTGGATGATCTGCGAGTTCGGACTGGTGTCTATGGCACACTATTTGTTGTCCGCGTCACATTAACGATAGCATTCAAAGCGCTATGCACGGCACGGATAACTCTGAAGACTTTTGGGAGGATGTGTACGAGCATCCTATGGCTGACTTTCTTAGGCAATACGAACAATGGGCATGCACCCAGAATCAAAGTAAGTCCTTCGTCTCTTCACATAGTTTGTGTACTTATGCATCGTCCGGTAGATCTCAATGAACGCACTCTTTGGAAGCTGTAAGAAAGCAAGTACGCAAGATGATCCTCCGGGGCCTAGGTGAGTATCGACGTTCTACAAATTCTGCCCCGTCTAACATTATGCACAGTTGCTGTGACCGGCAAAAAAGATATTGTGATGAACTACCACAACTATGAAACATCCGTCATCGAAACGTATGGGGTGCGCCTTGTGGGCTGGCCCAATGGTGTCAAGTTCACTAGCCCTTCGAACATCGGGACCGTCGGCGACATTCGCAAGCTCCGGGATGCCCTCAAGGCACGTACGTGCTACTGGACAGTTCTATCACCGGCAGAGCTCAAAGCTCACGCGTCTGAACTCGACACGCGTTCAGCCGGGGAAGTCGTTCGGAAGCCACGAAAAAAGCGTTCGGATGCTGGCGTACCTCGCAAGCGTAAAGACGGGTCCAGCGCAGGACGGGTAAACAAGGAGAATATCAGGCCTTCGAAGAGAGCAAAGAAGAACTCTACCCAGCTGCAGGAAGGTCCCAAAAGCGCTGAGTTTGTAGAGTCTTCTGACGAAGAGGAGGAGGGGCATGAGTAGTAGTATTGCATTGCCTTAGTCTACATTGTATGACTCATATACGTATCCCAATCATTACTAGTGAATTGTTTGTCAAAACGCGCTCTTAATCCGACCACCTTGAAGTGAGATACTCGAGCTCGTCGTGTGACACGACGAGCTCGAACGTTCCATCACTATGCGACGTTGGGCACGGTAACCGGATCACATGATTCTATTAATAGTACGGTAATACTGACAACCCTCTGCGTACCTACAGCTATATAAAGTCCCTAGCTATCCAGGAGATATTGGAGGAGGCCCTGATCATTATTCCGCCTGATCTTACAGGTGCGACACACGTGCATTATCACCTATAACTACAGTGCTTACGTGGGAGTCACAGGTGTCATGCGAATAGAT